CCCTCCTGGCTCCTGCCCCCTCCTGCCTCTGCCCGGGTCTCAGGCCAAACCCTGGGAGCATCCTGACAGCTCTCACCTCACACCTCACTTTCCAGTCCAGCTCACCAGCGCCTGCAGCAAGCTAACCTACTGGTCGGATCATCTGCCCCCTGGTGGTCAGTGCGCTTCCACAGGGGCAGTGCTGCTCAGCCAGAAGCTTGGCTCACAGGCTGGCAAGCACAGTGGTGGTGGCAGGAGCCTCCCCTGCCTGCTGCAGGGCTAAAGACCCATTGGGGGATGTCCACCTGCCGGCTTAGGCCTGTTCCCCTGAGGGATCCTGGACTGCGAGAAGGTACAGGCTGGTCTAAGGGACCCCACCCCAGTACATGAATGTCGTGCACCGGGCCTCTAGTATAAAATATATAGCATAACCCTTTTTACACACACACACACACACACACACACACACGTAATAGATTACAAGATATTAGAAGGCTATAAACCTTAATTTCAACATACTTTTCATGTGATGACTTAAATGTTAACATTTTATTTTTTCTAATTGTTCTACGACAATATGTTATTTTTGTAATTTAAAAGTTATGTCTTTTTTTTTAAATCTTTATTGTTCAGATTATTACATTGGTTCCTCTTCCCCCACCCTCCATAGTTCCCCTCCACCCAGTTCCCACCCCACCCTCTGCCCTTACCCCTCCCCCCCACTGTCCTCATCCCTAGGTGCACAATTTTAAAAGTTATGTCTTATATGTTTAGAAGTTGTGGGGGTACTGGCCATATTCCTTTTATAAAAAATATGTTCTTACTGATTTCAGAAAAAGGAAGGAAGAGGAAGAAAAGGGATAGAAACATCAATGATGAGAGACAACCATTGGTCTGCAGCCTCCTTCATGCCTCCTACTGGGGATCCAGCCTGTAACCCAGGCATAGGGGCTGACTGGGAACCCAAACGTGACCTCCTGGTTCCTGAGTCCTCCAGGTGCATGGGTCCACGCTCAACCACTGCACACCGGCCGGGCCTTATTTTATTTCTTAATTTCAACAGGGTCAACACAGGCCCTTGCTTTGGGTTATTTTTTTAGCGTAAATTTGTTTATCAAGTTTCCTCCATGTTATGATACAGCTCACAATTAGTGCTTAATAAGCTGCACATATTTATTTTTCAATATTTTATACAAAGACCCGCATCTCTCGTGCAGCGTTCCATAATTTCAGAGCAAAACTGACCCTTGACTGCAAACACCCTTTGGGTTGCGCAACTGAACAGCATGGACTTCAAGTCCCGGTAGGCATTGCGGCAGGCGTACCGGAACTACGGGGACCGAGAGGGGGCCGGGGCCCTACGGTCCTTTCCCACCCAGAAGCCCGCGGGCTGCTCGGAACGCTGTCTGTATCATGGCCGCGGGAGCCGGGACCGGGGGCCCCGCTTCCGGCCCGGACGTTCTGCGTGATCCGGCGGCGTCACAGTCGAG